GAATAATAAAGATGGTAGCCGACACAGACTCAGAACCCTGAAAAGATTTGTATCCTTTCTGGCCTGGGATCGTTTTGAATCCCTGGGAGGGAAGTGGAGGGTGTTAGTGGGAGAGGCAGGTCTGTGATGGATGAACTGGTGTTTAACCTGAGCTCCTATCGATGTGTGAAACTGAACGCACACAGACGGTTGTACACATGTATAAAATCATGTCTCTGCCATCATAAACATAAATGAGATGAAGTTTTGAGCGAGGCCCAGTTGACCACACACATCAGGTCCAGAAGGAAAACCAGCACCTCATTCACTCACATTAGCATCAAGCTGCTGCAGCTGGGATTATAAGCTTCTATAAACCAGCTTTAGTTCCTGCCATGAGCCAGCAGAACAAGCTAACATTAAGGTYGAATCTCACTAGATTATTTAGTGARGCAGAAATGTGGAAAATATGTGAATTTTGTGTTTTAGTCTTCCATCATAGTGAGTGTGATGAAGTGAGCAGTCAACATGGGGCTGCAGTTTCACCTGGCTGCGTTTACAAATCCAGGATTATTTTAGAGTGCACTGCTGCAAAACTGCCTTTGGTCCGTGCTCATTATATTATCACCCAGCTAAGCCCACAGTCTTCTGCTCTGACCTCCTCAGAACATATTGAAGAAACTGATGGGGCTACATGTTTTTGTGACTCACATGAGAGAAGATGCAGAAGTTATAAGACATTCTGCAGACTCCCTCGTGAACATCTTTCACTAAACTCAGTGAGATCCCACCTTAATAATAACTCTACACGTGCAAAACTAAAGCAGTGAAAAAGGATAAAAACCAGGACTTACCATTTGTTCTAATGTGGATGCAGGCTTTAGGGTAAATAAGGCAGAAGAAGAGAAAGAAGCCACAGATTAGACGAATGAACCATGTGAGTCGGTTTAGTTCAGGTGTTAACAGGAAGGTCCAGAAACTGAAATCAAAGCCAAGGRAGAGGAACAGCAGCACCGGCCAGAAAAACAGCACCAGGTAAACCAACCTGTCATTACTTTTCAATCAGATGATAAGACATCTGGGCTGAGGGTGTTACCTGACCGTAAACAAGTGTTGGAGCCTCCGATTCACCTGAAATGACCTCTGCAGCAGCCGTAAACGGACCGAGTCAGCTGCTGACAGAGGTCAACCCACAGAGGTGGGCGGGGCAAGAATGTGAGGAAACAATGCTCCATGCAGGAAATAATCTGAATTTTTTCAAACAGAGGCAGGACATGATCCCTCTGAGGAAATTAAAGCTTGTTTTCTGTTTAGAGATGGAGGAGAAAATTAAGCGTTTTTATTCCAACATGGACGACTTCCTGAAGAAAGGTATTTAAATACGGGACAGTCAATAGATAACTTTATGTGCACGATGAACTTTAGGTCATTTAAAGCAGAGATTCTTAACCCACGGGCCGCGGCCTCAAAACAACAACAGATTTTAACTTTGGGCCACAGAGGGCCGTGGTGGGACCGCATTGATTTTAAATAAGGTGCAATACACTTTGTCAC